ACAAACATTAACGGAGTCTAAGCTGTGAGCATCTCCCACCTGGACTACTGCTCGCTTCCCTATTCTGTATAACACAGCCAGAGCGATCCTTATAGCTATGGCTTTGCTCTAGAATGCATTGCTCTCATCCTTGAAGCAAAACCTAAAATCTTTATCCAAGGGCCACAATGTCCAACCCAATTCATCATCCACCTCTTGGACTTCAGCTGCACGGATGCCTGCACATGCGGGGAACACTTCTCGGGGCTGACTGCACGTCCTCTACTTCCACTGGCACTGCTGTCTCCCAAACACCTGCCATGGCATTCTCTCTCATTTGACTTAGGTCTCTGCTCAAATGCCCCCCACACATCCCCCAAATACCACTCCCACCCCACCATCCCCAACACTATCTATCCTTCTGTACTGTTTATGTTTTCCCACTTCCTTTAGCACTGCCTCGATTTTTTTTAAAAAAGTTTAATGGGAACTGAAAAAAAACTTAAAAGGGAAAAAAATGGGTTTAAAACAAACAATTCAATGCAAAGAATAAAAACCCCTCCAAGCAACAACAACCAAAGGGAATTGGTTCCAATCCCCCGGTTGGGGGGGGGAGGGGGGCAGACACAAAAACACTTAGGATTATATAATCAATTAAACAACCAAAGGGCACATTCTGCAAGCTTGCCTCCTGGCCACCAGCACAGCCTTCTCCTTCCCATGAATCTAGAATCTTCTCTCCATGTCCCTATTTCTGTCTCCATCTCTGGTGTTGCTACTTCTCTGGACAGGATCCCATATTCCGATTGTGCTCTTCTCCTTTGATGGTCCTAGGGTCCTCTGTTCCTGGACTGTAAGATTAACTACTCCCCCTTCACTTTTTATTACTAAACTTCTACTTTTACAGTTGTGCCAGGTACAATTAGTCATGATAACAATTATTCACTATTGAATCATAAGAATCTTATCCCATGTTCTTTCAAGCACTGCCTGGATTTTATAGATTGATTTGATTACTGTCTGCCTTACCCTGGTCAGAGAGTATCAGGGTCCTCTGCTCATTGCAGCACCCCCAGGTCGTCCCGTAAATGTGACTTGAATGAATGCACGCAATTTAAATATGCACTCTCCATGTGCCAGACACTGGGATAAAAAGATGAACAAATAGGACTTAGCCTTTTCCCTTGAGGAATTTAAAATCTAGCCATGAAGGCGATGGTGCATAGTGAATAGAATGAAATGATATGATCTTGATATGTTTGAGGGAAATGCCGGAGCAGAGTAGCTAAAGACAAGGCAGGAGAGATTGGGGTCAGATTGTGCAGGACCTTGAACTTCACTGTAAGGAACTGGGTCTTCATCGGGACGCTCACTCTGCTGGGATAAAAAGTAGGAATGGAAAAGGCGATGGATCTGAAATTAAAATGGACAGAATTAGAATGGACAGAACTTAGTGACTATTTAAGGAGCTCTGGTAGCGTAGTGGTTACGAAATCGGGCTGCAAACCGCAAGGTCAGCAGTTGGAAACTACCAGCTGTTCTGAGGGAGAAAGATGAGGCTTTCTGCTCCCGTAAAGATTTAAAGCCTCAGAAAGCCTGTACAGGGTCGCTGTGAGTTGGAACTGGCTCCACGGCACATAACAACAAATGACTATTTGGTAGGGGGAAGGGAAAGACACCAAAAATGAGGAGTTCTCCTAAGAATCAGATAATGCCACTGTTCAGAGAGGAAGAAGACTAAGGTGGAAGAAAAAGAAAACAAATCTGGCTTTATACAAGTTGAGTCTGAGAGTCTTCTATCAACACACTAGTCATGCTGATTTCTCAGGTGCCTGGAAAACCCTCGATTGGGAAAGTTTGGAATGCTGCTCCTTGGCTGCCTTCTTTGTCAGATGCTTACATCGTCCTAACTGAGCAGAGCCACACGCATCACACATAGGTGCCACTGTGTTGGCCAGGATTTAGTCATGCATGAAAATTCCTTAAATCTTCAGGCTTCAGTAAATCTGTATGTTTAACAGAATCGTTATCAAGCTTTCTTAAAACAAGGGATACCTGTTTTGCAGTGAAATCTCACACAAATGCAGAGATTTCCCAGGAATTTTTCCTAGTCAGTGGATTGAAAGTCCAATTCTAAATGGGGAGACAACATTATTTACAATTTTAAAACCAAAAAGTTCTCAAGGACAGGCATTACTGTTGCTTTCCACTTCTCAATGTCATGGATATCCCATGTGTATATACAAACACATGTACATACTGACATGAGGGGGTGATGTACAGAATGAAAGGAGGCAAATATTTTTTTTAAGTATTAACCACCCCCCCCCAAAAAAAAACAACAACAAAAAAAACACAACTTAAGTGTAACTTAAGGGCAACTGTATACAACCCGAATGTCACAATGTCTCCCAATTTGCCACCGAGGTTTTCCAGCACCTCAGACATCTGCCTAAAGGTCTGTTGTTGAAGGATTTCAGTGATCTCATTTCTCAATTCAGAAATCACCCTCTACACTTACAGCCTCCGGTTATTCGCTGAAAAGTAGAAGATGCCAAGATAAGTATGGGCTGAACTTTGCCCCTAGAGACTCCAGGACAGTTGAGATCAATGTAATATGCCCCTTATGGAATTACTGTCTAAAAAGGCTTACAACACAGAGGAGCTATGTGAAATGTTTTCCTAAATAAATAAAATTGCTGTACTACAAAAGACAACCGACTAGAAACAAGGAGTATCTAACACTATAAAACATTTCCATCTGCTTTATTGGAGGCAAAGAAATACAATTCATAAATACCTACTGCTTGGCACTGTCAATTTATTTTTCTTCCTATCTCTTATACGTTTGGTATGCCACATACATTGAAAAGAGGTAACAAGCAAAGAAGGAGATGGGAAATCAGGAATGTGTCTCAGGTGAAGGATGGGCAGGGAGAATTCTTAGGAACATCCAGGCAAGAGTCAACGTGAGGTGCAACCCAGAGAGAAGACGTTAATGAATCTTGAGCTAGATGCATTCTGGACAAAAACACTCTAAAGCTAGTAAAATTTGAGCATGATTGTCCCATTCAATGTTAGACTCAAATACAACATAATTTCACAGGGAAATAGAAACTATCTAGATTCAAAAGTCCTTATTTTATCTACAAGGACAACAAAGCTCCTGAGATGTAGGGATCTAACCAGATTCTGCAGCTTGTTATGACAGGGCCAGGGCCAGGGCCAGACCTGAGCTGACTGTTCCAGTACAGGGTTACTGTACTTATTTATTGATGTTCAACAGTTTAAATATATTAAACACTGTAGCACTGCCAACAACTACCAATAAAACAGGAAATTGGAAAGCTCAAAGGGAAACAGTTGTGGAAAATTCCTTATTAGGAAAAATATAAAAAGATATACACTTTACAGAAACTATTCCTCTGATTAAGGGTACTTCCTTAGAACAGGAATGGAATTATTTATAAAGGTACAGATATCTGAAAGAGTTGAACTTGTATGTGGTATGAATGACTTTCAGTAAATAATTTACTTGCATGTTAAACATTCTGATGAAAAGCCAGAAAACAAACTCATATAAACAAAACAACATCAGAAAAAATCCAGCAGTTGACTTGGCCTGTACAAAGGAAAAGTATAGGCTTCGTTTTCAATGAGCTTTTAGGAATAAAAGGTTATATAGGACTATCAAAAACTCAAAAGAAGGACTTAAGTTTGGCAGTCAAAAGAAAGTATTTAATAAATTCTGTGCATTCTGTATTACTAACGTCGATTCCTACACAACTAGCGTCTAAAAGAACAAAAGCAAACAAAATACAGTCTTCTACCCAAACAAATGCAGCTCAGACCAGTCTTGCCATTTTCAAAATTTACCTTAAACTTTACGACAGCCAAACGAGCCCTAAAATAAACATTGGCTACTTAAACAACATCCTTTTTCACAAAACCTAATGCTCCTTCCCTGGCAAAAGCTCAGCAACTGTTTTAATTTCCATTTCCTTATAAAACATACCAGGAAAATCTTCATCACTTCTGAATGGAAGAGTTCAGCATAACCTCTCAGTCTGCATTTTGTTTTCATGATTTAAGATGATTTCCTCACTAGTCATCCACATGGTGGGTCATAACACAGTCTACCAGAGAGACATTTAATTCTTTAACAAGCTCATTTCTAACCCCCATGCATATGGAAGTGATAAAGATGTTCCACTAAAGGGAAAATCGAACACCCAGTGACCAGCACCAAGTAGGTGATCAGTTTACAGGCAACCCAGCTAAACTACAGGCTGGAGAGGAGCTGTGTAGAATGTAGAGTTAGATACATGGAGTCCCTTTGGGTCTACATGTAACTAAAAAGGAGGTGCCTATTTAAAACCTCAAGAAAGCTGAAAGGAATAGCTACATAATGCTGTAAGTGCCAGTCATTCTAAAATGTGGAAATCCACGGAAAATAATCCACATTCCAGCTACCCGAAGAAAAGTCACATCCTAAAAGGTATCCTTTTCCCAATAAGCCAGCCCAGTCTGGAATAGCTGTTCTGAATTCTATGCATGAAACATCTTTAAACAGGATTTGCTAAAGTTCCAAAGTCCGACTCTGTGTGGGAAAAAGATATGCTGCCCTCACAGAGCTGTAGGATAATTGTCACATCTTTGCTTGATGGGTTAATAATAATAATACCCAGTCTGGCCAGTTTGTCTATGGGTCAATAACCTGAACTTTTTTGAAAGTCTCTTAGGATTTTCTGTCCTGTTAATTAAAAACAGAAGGACATCATCTCTGACTATTCTATCTATCATGCTGTATGAATCCTGGATCAAACAGGCAACAAAATGATACAGTGTTTTCTTAAATCTAGTTTTAGTTAGTTTAGCAGGCCATGCGGTTTAAGAAAAGACAAGGAAAGAATACGCTTTGATTCTCATTGCCTGACAAATTTCACTTCCAAATGAAAACTACAATCTGCAGCTCAAACCCCTCCCTAGTCACTGAATCTGAAAGCTTCTGCTTTACTTACTTGTATTTTAGGAGCAGCCACTGAATTAACCAGAGTCCTACAAGGATCATGCCGTTAATTTCACAGATAGAAAAGGCCCACTGCACCCGGTTAAAATGGTCAAAAAACGTGTCCGGTAGTGGAGGCTGCACCTCCTTAGGAGGTACTCGTTCATGGACGACCGAGATCATCACTGTGGTGAGAACGAAACAGGAAAGTGCATAAACAAAGGCCAGCAGAGTCTTTCCCCACTCCATGGGGTACTGGGAGCGCTCTGGCTCTGGCATGGGGATCTTGATCATCTCCTTCCTATACCCATTTGGCATCCCGTTGGGTTTGACCTTGCTGCTGAAGCTGCTGTTGTGGGAGGGAACGTCTGTGCCAATGCTGAGGTGCCCGTTGGCATGGCCGTTCTTGTGTGCTTCCATGTGCTGTTCCATTTTCAGGGTCTCTATCATGTCCAAGAGCCGCTGCCCGTTGTCGGAGGAGACTCGGCACAAGGGGGGTTTTCTGAAATCCTCCTGGGTTAGGTTGATCAAGTCCCGGCCTGTGAAATGTTCCAGAGGTTCACAGTATTCTGGCATAGCATTCTCTAAGAGCCAGTCGGCCACCTTCTTGGGTGACCAGGAAACCACTTCCTTCATTGTACTGGCAGACAGCATGTGGTCCCCAGCTTGCTGTTAGAAGGTCAGCAGACACTGTTCCTACAGGGCAGGACACCGTCCCTCCTTGGCTTATTCATTCTGTCAGGCCTCATGAGCAGAGGCTGGTTTGGCAAGATGGTTAGGGCAGTTTTTAAACACTTCATGTAGTTGTCCAGGGTTCTTGTGTGTCTGACCATTAATTCACCTCATTGTTGAGTCTTCATTCTGTGGAGTTAAGACAAAATGTCAAGATAATGGAACTCCAAGTCAAACCCCCTTAAGAGGGTAAGCCTACTGAACCTATCTGACGAAGAAATGTTTAAAGACGTATATAACACACAGCAACTTAACTGGAATCATAGAGGAGAATCATAGACATGTTGAGTTTGAACATCATCTGGATCCACTATTTTCTATAAAACCCAGTGATTCCCTTTTTAATTGAATGTGCTTGGGGTTCCAGATATGGGAAAGAGTTAGAAAAGCAGCCGCTTGGGTTAAAACACACGTGGCATGAAGGGTCAGGGTCCTGTCTGCTCTGACAGCCTGTAGTTAGAAAATATGAGTCTCTGAGTCCAACTTTTAAAATACTTAACTAGCTATGTGGCAATAACCAAAATGAGCATCTACAGAGGACAGTCATTTAGAATTCAAAGTTTTATGAATTTATATATGTGTTAAGTGCTGTCAAGTTGGTTTTGACTCATAGTGACCCTGTATAGAATTTCTGAGGAGTGACTGGTGGGTATGAACTACCAACCTGATGGTTAGCAGTCTGGCTTATCCTACAGTGCCACATCATGTATAATATTTAGACACATATGTAAACGATGGTACTTTGAAAAATTCATGGAAAAATAGGTTGAAAATATAATGGAATTTTTCCATAAACTTTTTGAAGCCCCCTATGGAGCTGACTCCATGGCACACCACCACCACCACCATTATAAATCCTGGTGTGGTGCTGCAGAATATTGCACTGGATTGCAAGGTTGGTGGTTTAAACCCACCAGTCGCTCCTCAGAAACCCTAGACAGGGTAACTATGAGTTGAAGTCGACTCTACGGCACTTAACAGCAACATTATAATTACAAATACATTTAATGAATAAAACAGTACATAAAATTACTAGAATGAAATACATCAAGTAATAACTGAAGATACAGTTGAGGGCTGAAGCATTTTCTATTTTTCTCCCACCTGATTTTCTTTCAAGGGACCCTGGTGAAACAAGTGGTTGAGCACTTGGCTGCTAACTGAAAGGTCAGCAGTTCAAACTTAGCAGCCATTCTATGGGAGAAAGTTGGGCAGTGTTTCTGTAATGATTACCTATCTTGGAGATCCTATGAGGACATTCTACTCTGTTTTCTGAGTCATAATCAACTCAATGGCAACCCATTTTCAGATTTAGTTTTTCTTTTATAAAGATGTATTACGTTTATTATCATTAAAAAAAAAAAAAACCCCAAAAATCCACCAAGTTACAAATAATCGACCTAATTGTAACAAAGCATCATGCTTGATCAAATATAGCCTTTGGCTTGAGCATCTTCCATGTATAACCCATATGCGAGTTTCAGCTTATTCATCTGTAAAATGGGGACAATTAAAGATCTATTTCATAGCACTGTTATCAGTATTTTACTAAGAAGCTATACATGAAAGTTAATGAAATGTAATTTAACTCAAAATTAATAATTTTCCAATGGATCTTTTGGTTTATATATCATTCCTTCTCCTCCCCCCCCCTTTTCAAATTCTGTGCCATTTCTGATAGCAATTGTCCATCATATCTTACTGTGAAAAAACTGCCTACTAGTAGGCTTCCTCCCTCCCCCTCCCCTGCCCAGTGATAAATATTGTAAATAACTTGCTCAGATTTGGAGGTTTTAAGAGCTGGAATTACTGATGATGGTTATCCTAAGTGTATTTTGTGGAAATTATTAGTCAGTTAGGCGCTGTCGAGTCAATTCTGACTCATAATAGCGATTCTATGTACAACAGAACGAAACAATACACGGTCCTACACCATCTTCATAATTGTTGTTATGTTGGAACCCAGGGCTGATACCTCTGTGCCAATCAACCTCATTGGGGTCTTCCTCTCTTTCATTGACCCTCCAACTTTACCAAGCACGATGCCCTTCTCCAGGAATTGGTCCCTCCTGATCACTTTTGTGTATTAATAATCCAATAAAATGTTCCATGCCTTTAAGGAAAAAAAAAAGTATTATGTGGCCAAAAAAAAAAAAAAAATCTAGAAATTGTAAGCTGTCATCTTTCTTGGGGACAGCAGTACACATTAGCATGTTAAAATCTACAGGAAATCTATCAGTGAAGAAACTTTACCAAGGTTTCTCAAATTGATTTCATCCTTCTCCCCAGCCGCTTCTTTCCCTGAAACTCACACTACTATCCTATGGAAGGCCCAGGGAAGTACTGACCTAAACAATCAAGAGTCCTACCATTGGCAGCAAGTAGCCCTGGTAGCACAGTGGATTACAAGCTGGGCTGCTAACCACAAGGTCAAATTTGCCAGCTGTTTCAAGAGAGAAAGATGAAGTTTTCTCCTCCCATGAAGATTTACAGCCTCGGAAACCCTACACAGGGTCGCTCAGAATCGGAACCGACTCGGTGGCACAGCACCACAACCCTCATAGTTGTCAGCAAGTGAAAACAACAGACACGAGCCCAGATCTTCTGAGTTTAAAGTCCAAACACAAGTCTACTAAAGCTCAAACTCTGACTCTGGAATGGAGATGGGTCATATGTGCACCCCAGTTTCCCAGTCCAAACAACCACCCAAATGGCTTAAAAGGTATTCCAAACTTCCAAACATGCCAGAGAGAGCCAGGCATCCAAAGCTCAGCACATTCCTCTGGACACTTGGCTGTGGGTGGGTGTGACAGAGCTTCCCAGGAGGAGCCTACGAGGACCATGTGCCTCGCTTTCCCAGTGCTCAAAAGGCACTCAGTCACTATCTACCTTATTTCTCAGGAAAAGTTCCTTAAACCTAGGTTTAATGGAAAACAAACCTACTACAAATACCTCTGATACTAAAAAGGGCTTTTAAAACAATTTGGCTGGTCAAGGAGAATAAAGGAAGCATTCTCCAGAGGGAAATATAAAACCTAAACGAATCTCTCTGACCACTTAAGAGCCACTGCAGAGCAACTTCAATTGGTACTCTTACTGCCTGGAGAGTGGTGAGAAGACATGCCCCAAATAGGAATCCTGGCAGCTTTGGCAGGAAAGGGGATCTCCTGGCATGATGCCCAAAGGCCTCTACTCAAATACTCCTCAGTACATTAGGACAACAGCCAAAGGAACTCTCAGCACCTTGAAGCGGCTGTAAGAACTCTAGAGAAAAATTCTCAGTGGAGAATTTATCCAGGCTCAGGGAAAAGGAACACAGAATTGGCTTTTGACATTTCATTCTTCCTTCTTTCTCTACTTAACGCAACAAGTCCAGCAGGGGAAACTGCCTCAGAACCAAAGAGACCAGGCCAGGGCCAAGATGCAATTTCACATCCCTATGATGAGAAGGAGCTCTGGTAGCGTAGAGGTTATGAATTGGGCTGCAAACTGCAAGGTCAGCAGTTCAAAACTATCAGCTGCTCTGTGGGAGAAAGATGAGGCTTTCTGCTCCCATAAAGATTTACAGCCTCAGAAACCCTGTACAGACTCCACTGCACCTAATAACAACATGATGGGAGGAATAGTCCTAGAATGTCCTTTTAAAAAGATAATACTCTGTGAAACTGGTGGTGGTGGTGGTGGTGGTGATGTGCTGTGGAGCTGGTTCCAACTCACAGTGACCCTGTATAGGGTTTCGAGGCTATAAATCTTTGCAGGAGCACAAAGCCTCATCTTTCTCTCACGAAACCACTAGTAGTTTTGAACTACTCACCATGAGATTAGAAGCCCAACTTGTAACCACTACACTACGAGACTGCTGTTGTTAAGTGCCCTTGAGTCAGTACCAACCCATAGCAACCCTGTATAGGGTTTACAAGGAGCGACTGGTAAGTCTGAACCACCGACCTTGTGGTTCAAACCAACCTTGCTGCCCAGTGGTTCAGTCTGCCGTACCATATAGGACCCCATGCAATGAGACTGTAAGCAAACAAAAAAATCAAATGATGGGACCCAATATAAAACCCAAACCCAAACCTACTGCCCTAGAATCGATTCTAACTCATAGCAACTCTGCAGGACAGAGGAGAACGGCCCCACAGGGCTTCCCAGGCTGGAAACCTTTATAGACACGCTGTCTTACCGTTCTCCGGCAGCAGAGCTGGCGGATTCAGATCTAAAGCCCTGCCCTCACTCTGCGCTTTCACATGCATCTTTCTGCAGATATTTACAGTCCAACAGAGTTGTCCTCGGAATCCTGGTGTGGTGCTGTGGGATAAGAACTCGACTATGGGATAAGCTGCTAGGTCAGTGGTTCAAGCTCACCAGCTGCTCCTTGGAAACCCTATACAGGGTTGCTATGAGTCGGAACTGACTCGACAGCACTTAACAACACCAGACTTATCCTCATTATAAGAGGCAGCAAAGAGGGCAGCTGTAAAGTCCAACCGCACAGCTCTGAATTTCACTTCTGCCCAAATCTCTGCATCTTTAGCTATAAAACCGGTGTGTTGAAAGAATCAAAGGAGCCCTGGTGGTGCAGTGGTTAAGTGCACAGTTGTAAACCTAAATACGGTTGGTTCAAACCCGCGGGAGAGCTCTGAAAGGTCACTTATGCTCTGCCCTATGGTTACGATGAGTCGGAATCGATGCAAGATCTCTCTACTGGCTCATTCTCCTCCTCCCTCACTGAAATGCCATCTGCTTTGCTCTTCAGGGAGTCTGTGCGTTTGCCATTACAGGTAGTCCTCACGTTGGAACAGTTTACTTGATAACACTTTCACCTTTACTCAAGACCTACATTAGTACCTATTTTCGCTAACCCAGAGAAATCTGAGGTTGTCGTTTGTACGGGGGAAAAAAAGGCAAGAAGTGAAGTTGGAGTTGAGCATTTGTGTTCTGCACTGAGCTGTAGGGAGCACGTGTCCTGAGCACTAAGGGTATGTTGCTAAGCTCCTTCCTCAGGAACTAGATGGGACATAATTTCTACTTTATGAGGTGCTATGTTGAGCATATCACTCCTGCTTTTACTATATGTTAGTGTGATTTCAGTGTTGCTTATGTGTTATTTGGTAGGTTTTTC